GAATACTGCAGTGATAAAAATGGACGTGTAACAAGCTTTCTGGTTTGTAGACTTAGAATTCATTAGGTGTGCACTGGGAGTGGTATATTTAGGTCAAATTCTAGTCCTACTTTCAATATTTTAAGGAAATTCCAAGCTGGTTTTCATAGCAACTGAATGAATTTAAGTGACAACCTGAAGCATGTAAATGTTCCTCTTTTTCCAGTTTGTTACTGGCGTTTATTGGTTTTGTTTTTCCATGATAGCCATTCTCTTTTTTGCCATTATCTTTGACAGTTTCATACATATGTAAAATGTGTTGTTTATATATTCTCCCTCCCCTACTGTCCTGTATCCTGCTTCCATCTTGTCTTATCCACTTCTTCAGATCTTCTAATCTTTCCTTAAGGGAAAGGTGCAGATTTAAAAAAATGGATCTCAAATTAATTGATGTTATTTTATTTTTCATGTGTCTCTCCAAACCTGTCACCTCATGATCATAGAACATTTTTTGGTGACAATTTCTTTGTGACTTACCTGTCAAGGTGTCCAATTCTAGATTGGAAGACTAGTTTTATAAGGGAAAAAACTCTTAAATTCAAAGAGGCTGGACCTTTTTCTGAACCCCAAGTCCAGAGTTAATAATACATCTTGAAGTCACTTAAGTTTTAAGATTGATACCCTACTGTGACCACAGCTTGTTTGTTTAACCAGTGTTTAAGAAAACTATGGAACAACCAACCTTATTTGCCATACATTGCCTATGTCAAGAGCTTTTATATTCTAATCTGATACATAGTTTTGATCTTCAGATAGGGGTTCTTGAAGACCTGAACCCGAGAGCAATGTATGTGGCTATATGTGTGTTATGATAATCATTTACTGAAAACAGGAGATAATTAGATAATGGCCTTGAAAATAATCCACCTTCAATGCTGAAATTATAATGCAGATATTAATTATGAAAGTGCATTTGTGGTACTGTTTGTTATTTGGGTCATTCAATGCACAGATGGAGTCCGTAAATTTTAGCTGTACTCAGTGATTTAAATCTGTTATAAACTCTTGAAGATTTCACTATTTAGTTAATGGCAAAGTAAAAGCCCTTTGTGAGAGACTCAGAGAAGGACATCACGCAGTCCTGGTGACACAGACTAAATAGAAAGAACTGATTACAGACAATGCAGAGACCACAAACTACAAAAAACTGACAACAGAGAGAAAATGGAATATTCAAGTGTGGGTTCAGTATTGGTCATACTATTCCAAAGTAAGCCTAAATTCCTTTCTAAAAAAAATTATTATTTTATTAATTAAATTTGTATTTTTGCAATTTTATATGTACAGTTACATGATATACATTGTGCATAGTGACCACTTTCACCTCCACCCCTTGTAATAGCCCTACTAAACTTTGCTGTTGCCCATTCCTTTTGTGTGTCAACTTCCAGAGTTTAAAGAAGACCATCTGTGTGATATCCTTTGGAGTCTAGCAAGCTCAGTAGTGGTTCCACAACTGAGGACAAAGACCCTACCTCTCCCACAATCAGTCAATCCAATTGTTCAGTATTAAGTGGTAAGGCCCAGTGAGGCCCCTCATCCATGCCTACTGTTCACAGGGCCAATCCTGCACATGCCCATTGCAGTTAACCTCAGTTGCTGTGAGCTCATGGATGAAATGGCTGTTTAACTGATCCCTGTGTTTAATGTGATGTGAAAGCATATCAATGACCCTGAGTTTGTACCTAATGGGTTTAATTGGTACAGATTTCATGAGAAGTTACTAGTAGTCAGACATTTCTAGTAAAGTCTAAATAGCATATTCTTCCACTCTGGGTAGATAACGAATCTATGGTAAAGTTCAACGTCATGCACATGTTAACTTCTGTGAATTTGTCACTACCACTATGATCATGAATCAAAACATCAGATTCTTCCTCATATATAAACCAAGATACCTCCACATAATAAAGACTGTCTATAAAATAAACTTAGAGTCAACATTATACAGACATGGAGGCCAATGAATAGAATAAATGGCCAAGAAATAAGCTCATTCCTTTATAGTCACATAAATTTTGGCTAAGCTTTTCAAAATGTACTTTGGAGAAATAACAAAAAAAACTAACCTATATAGTTGATGATGGTGGGAAACTGATTTCTACACACTGAAGAGTCAACCCAAATTCCTGCCTCTCATCTAGCAAATGAATAAATTCAAAACCCATTCACCACCTTGTTGTAACATCTAAAATTGCTGAAAATTTTTACGGTTTCAAAGGCAACCATGAGTATGAGTGGAGAGGAGCCATGTTTCCTTCTTTCTAACCTGGGAGATGGGATTAGAAGTGTCTACTGTTCTTGTTTTCATTATGAAGGTGCTGTATTATTACTGTTCTAATTGTTGTGACAGAATGATATGAACCAAATTAAGGAAGTGTTTATTTTGTTTTGTAGCTAATGGAAATAGTACAGTCCACCATGGCTGGGAAAGCATGGTACTGCTCAAATATAATCTACAGTCAGGAAGCAGAGAGAGAACTGGATATGGGCTGTCCTATAAATGCCATTCTTAATGATTAACTTCCACCAGCAAGTCTCCACTTTACATAAGTGATAGAAACAAAC